ATATAGCTGACTGCAGTCAAGCAGCATAAGAAAGAAATCACGGAGATGCAAGTACAGAAATTCGCATACAAGCAACGCATCGACACTTTGATAAATTGCGCTCAGCAACCAATCGTATTGGGATAAAAAATTCATAAAAAATGACAATCAGAACTCTCCTCAATCCCCATCGATTTCGCCACGCCACGCGATAATGAATCAATAGAAGAATTAGCAGAGTGACCACGGACCGATTTTGCAATGTTGCGTACACCTGACGCCATTGGCAACTACAAGCGCAAGCGTTTACAATAGCACACCGCTTAGTTACTTGGATAAAGTAATTCTACAGTGACATATACCAACTACAGCGTTACCCCAAAAAGAGGTTGAATAAATATACACGTCGTATACGAGATGAGCACACACCGGGGGAGGCGGCCCTCGTGCATCAGAAATGTTCAAACAATAACAGAATTTGCTGACGGTCTCCTTCCGTGCGGCACCTGACCCAAAAGAAGAATCTCGATCGCTTCTGCTGATGTGTGAGAATAGTAGCAAAGTATGAAAATTAAGCAAATACCAAAGGGTGTGTAGCTCAGTGGTAGAGCGGCTGACTGCAGATCAGCAGGTCCTCGGTTCAAATCCGGGCGCGCCCTTAATTCCACGACCGGTGACCATTTACTATGCACACTCATCACATTCAGCTTATTACAATCCCTTTGAACCGAGCTCGAGTAATCCATAATACAGAAATTCAGCTACGACTACTCTTCCCCTCTCCCAACCTCCCAGCTCACATCCCGCACTTAACGACAACGTTCCCCTGCCTCAGCAGGAGCGACGACGACGATAATAACAAGAGTACAGAATTCAGGATAGATGCTTCTACATACGCATGCAAGTATACCTAACACGACCACCTCGCTCCTTCCCATTGTCCTTCAACTCACACCGTGGCATCCAGCGACGGCTACAAACCGTCTAGATCCAGCTCATCCACGCAGTCAAGTTCCAAAGCTGATAATTCACTGCCCGTCATCTCGTCATCAGTCATATCCCTCAGCACGTCATCGTCATCATCGACTTCAGAACCGATGTCCCTACTGCTAGTCTTAGGGCCTCCACAGAATTCTCGAGCCGCCGGATCTGACAATGCGCCAGACATGTACACAATGAGAACAAATCGTAGCTCCACACTACAGCATTTCTGAGCAGCTCCTCGTTCCCGCACTATTGGGGTGAGCGCTGATGGACTAGAGACCGCCGTTGACGAGGAGATTGTACTACAGCATGACCCCGCGGCCTGATAACAATGTTAAGTCGTGCAGCATTATTCCAATAAGGAACAGTAGGATAATTACCATCCTCAAGGGCGGAGTGCAACCCCCAACCTCAGCAGTATCATCCATGATGTCATCAGCAGTGGCATCCTCTTTACCAGCAGCTACGACTGCTTCTAGTGCAGCTG